CATTTTGTTCATGAAGTTATTGTTCGTTTTCCTTCCTCATTATGTCCAATTAGTTCCCTTTGTTCAAAGACCGTTTTCCTCCTCATGAATTGGTTGCCTTGTCGTTATCCAAAAGTATGTACGATGAAGTTGAAAATTTGAGCTGTGAAGCAGAAGCCTGCCCAATGATGTGTGTTGGCCGACTAGGTAGGCTTCTCATGCGGTGTTGTAGTACATGTCAATCTCCTTGATCTTGAAGATGGCATCGGCGGCGGGGGGACCGGCGCTCCAGCCCTTGTCGCCGTTGGCCCAGTTGTTGAAGACCCAGGGACCGGCCTGCGAGGGCACGCTCTGGGTGGTCTGCCAGGTCTGGATGCCGTCGACGAAGAAGCGGACGACGCCGGGCATCCAGTCGATGCGGTACTCGTGCTCCGTGGTGGTCGGGTTCGTGGGGGGCAGGACGGAGAGCCAGGACTTGGGGGAGGACTTGCTCGTGGCCTGGTTCGCGAACCAGACCTGGCGCTTGCCGGCGTTGCTCTGGGAGTTTGCGTCGGAGAGCCACTCAATGTCGGTCTCTTGGTTGTCGTTCTTGTAGAAGAAGATACCTGTTGATGTTGTGTTAGTCTCGAAAGAGTGTTTGATGATGATGGCAAGATCTGTTGAAGGGGGTAGGCTTACCATTGCAGACACCAGCGGGCTCGGAGAAGACGGCGACGGTCCGGACAGAGGCGTACTTGATGTTCTGGGCCACGGTGACGACCTCGCCAGACTTGTAGGGCTTGGACTTTTGTCCACCGTCGACCTTGAGGTTGAGGTAGCCGCCGTTAATGTAGGCGTTCTGCGTGACGAAGACGTGCGTGTCGCTGACGGGGTAGCCGCTCACGCGCAGGCCGTCGGGCACCTTGGCGCCGTTGGCGAGCTTGCTAAAGTCCCAGTAGAGCCTGTTGGCGAAGGACATGTTGCCGACGTTGAAGATGTTCTTGACGGCCGTGATCTTTGCCGAGCGCTGAGGCATCGGGGCGGGAGCCGCGGAGGCGCAGACGGCCAGGAGGGCTGTCACGATGAGGGAAGCGCGGCGAGCCATTTTAGTTTGTTGATGTTGATTAGATATTAGAGACCGGTTGTGAGGATAGGATGCTAAACCTTAGTGAAAAGGTCTTGTTGGTCTTGTTGGTGAGGAGGATGTTTGTTGTGTGAGAGAGTTGAGGCTGTCTGGTCTATCCAAAAACTTCACCATGGCATCCGGGACGAGACGTTTACTTATACCATTCTGGAGTTTGATGTTTGTCTGTCTTCCTTCCCTTGCGAGAACATTATCTTGCTCTGTATCCCGTTGTTTTGCCCATATGCACTGCCGTTCTACACGCAGAACGGCATGCACCCCGCGTGGAGGACCTACCGAGAAAGCCACGCTCGACGCTTGTCAAAGCCGCCGGTCTACGCCGCGACGGCCGTACGGGCCAGATTCTCACAAGCGTCTCGCGGCAGTGGCTTTCGGTGGCTTGATGGGGCTCTTTGGATGGGTTGTTTTCCCGGTTCGCCGGAATAGGGCTGGTATAGATGTGATGGGCGGAGGGACTAACAGGATTTTCTCTTCAATCGCTCTCTTTACCGCGCCATGATAATCGATAGCTAGAGGCGTAATAATGAGGACGAAATGCTCCTGGTTATGAGTTTCTGTTCGCTTGAACGTCAGGTTCATAGAGCAATGATAGAATTATGAGGAGCGTGACAGACAATCAGAGAAATTAGAAACATCCTTCATAAAGGTGCAACGGCTTCGTTGAACTTTGTGATGACCATGACCATGACCATAGTAACGACTTCAAATGCCTACCACAGTATCATTGAGCCTCTCTGTAGTATTTTCCAAGCGCTTGGTAAGGTTATGGGTCAAGGCTGTCCAGGCCTCTGGGCTAAGCAGGACGTGGCGTCGCGTGTCTTTCGCATGCGGCTCACGGCAATTGAGATCCGTGCCTCTGCTCTAGGCGGCCGCGGTCGATGCGGGTGCGACCTGAGCTTTGGGACGGGACTCCGATCTTGAACCACTACAGTCTACAGGGAACGACGGCGGGATCGGGTCCTGTGTTGGGCGTTCTGGTTTTCCTTGGGTGGTGTTGTTGGTTTTGGTGGCGACCAAAAAACACAGCCAGCTTCGGAGTCGACAAGAAGCCAAGGCCACCTAGAGGTCAAGTCCATGACATGTAGGTTAGCGTTGAGCTAAAGAGCTTAAAGAGCTCAAGAGCTAAAGAACCCAAGGGGGATTAAGTCGTTCGTACCCCGTTTTTTCTGTCTTCGGCCGGGATCTGTATAGGCATAGTATGGTGTCTTGGCTGTTGGTGAGCTGCTCGAGCGACCTTTTCTGAATCCGGTACCTTTTCCTACCGAATGCGGTTTTGCGAACCTCGCACGTCGTCAGCATCGTGAGGGGTTCAAAGAGAACGACTATGGCGGTTGAGAGGGGAGGAGTCTTGACGAGGAACAAACGGGAGATGTCTCTGCCCACATGCCGTTGAGACATTCTCACTTTGATCTCTTCCCTGTCCCCATGCCCACCGCCCCCTCGGAGAGATCCCACCGTGGTCGTTGAGACATTGGCACAAAAGAGTGCGGGCAGTGTTCCTGGCTCGACAATGGAAGACTCTGGGCCACACCGTCAGTCAACGCACATCCCGACGTCGAGCGCCTCTGGGCACTCTGGACCCTGCAGAAATTGATTGTCCTTCCCACTGAGACACATTGGGGGTCTTCTCCTCCCGCTCTCGCCGGTGCGGCTTGAGCCCAGGTCCCCCTCCCTCCTTCGGTATTACATCATACATAGGCGCAAGGAGGCTTTTCGACTAGAGGTATTCCGTATTAGCTCGCGGGACTGTCAACCCATTTTCTTTCCCTTCCGGATCTGCCATTGGAAATTTTTTGTCCATGTGGGAGGAGGGAGATCTGCCGATGGAGGGGCTAGGAGGAAAGATCCAGACTCAGGTAGTGGGATAGGGTAGTGGGAAAGGTGTATTTTGCACTGGTTTTTACCCATCATGGGATATGCCGTTTACTCGTTTTGTTATTCTCTCCGATCTACGCTAGTCGACTCTGCAAAGCGAACGCCCCATCGGAACGTTATGACGAAATGCTTTCTCAACTGACTTAACGTGGTGATCGGCTTAACTTGCAGTCGTCGCCCGTCGCTTAGAGTAGAGCGCATACTAAGGAAGAGATTTCATCCTGTTCCCGGCCGAATGGTAAATGGACGTGCTGGGCTGACGGCACTACATCTCTTGGCTACATGGGACGGCTCTATTCCTAACGTCAGCCAGTCCGAAGTTTACTGCACAACCCGTCACTATCACAGATCTTCTCTTTAGGATCGTCCATATCGATAATTGAAAACAACGTGAACAAGTGGATGCGGCAGTTGGTCGGTAGATCCAGGTCGAAGTAAGTCACCAAAGCAAAGTAGTGTTTTGTCCGTCCAAAGCAGCAAAGTAGCTCCGTGACTTGGCCCCGCCCTTCCGGCCGGCCCCGGGAAGGGGGGGGGGAGGGTTCCAGGATCTGCGTTCAACTTGTCCATCCCCCGTCCACTCACCCATGTTGAACAACTCCCTTCCATTAGAGCTCCAACAAAACCTTTGCGAACCAACAACTACCCAGACTTAAGAGCACAGACTTCACCGAGCTCGGTGGATCAAAGATCTCAGCCCCTCCCGGGCAAGACGACTGAGTCACAAGCACAGCGAGCTGTCCGATATCGCTCTCGTTTATTGAAGCATCGCTGCGCTGGTCACCTGCAGATCACGAGTGCGATATCGGGATGCCTCTTCTCCAAAGTCTGGAGTCTGCAGAGTCACGAGTCGGATAGAGGAGGGTTCAGAAACCGTTGTGTAACTGTGAGGTAAAAGTATACCTGTATGGATACAGGAAGCAGCAAAGACTGGTGACAACGGAAATCGTTTTTTCGGCACCGAGGTGCACATGGCCGCCCTCCCACCCTCTCCTCCCCGATGGTTACACAGCATCGTGGAGACCCTCTCACTCCTGTCTCTATCCACGCGCGCCAAGAGGACCTAAATACAAGCTCCTGGAAGCCACGGTCATGGTTCGTTGCTGTGGAGTTTTGACTTCTGCGCTATGCTACATGTACACTCGATGCCTGCCTGCAGTGATGGAACTCATGGGGGCCTTGGGGGCCATCGGGTTTCTTGATGTATTAAATTTTCACGGCATATGCGCAGCGCAACGAAGGAATCCCGGACGACCTTGATGAGTGTACGCTTCGTACACGTGCATATACACAGAGTGACAGTGATAGCGAGGGAGATGGACTCATGAAGAGACAGCAATGGGCGGACAACGGTGCGCTGCGGCTGATGAGCCGATCATGACATGGACTCATCACATCACCCGGACCCTTCTTAGGATCGGGGGCAAGATCCTAGAGTCTGCTTGGTAGAGGATAGTCATTGTTCGGCGTCCCCCTCCGGCTGCCGGCATTGCATGGGTTGGTGGTCTCTCAGGGTCCAGAGGAGTTCCGCATGCGGACAAGTCACGCGACCTTGACTCATATTGATGTGATCTTGGCAAAATTCATTCACGGGCTAGAGCCTAGAGACCACAACGCGTCGAACGTTGCGGGCGCTGCTGTTGTAATGCGGTGTAACTATCTCTCTTGGGCATGGATGTCATGGAGTTACACGAAACGGATCAGCGGACTGACAACGATCGAAATTTCGCGGAATCCTTATCACATTCTGAACCTTGATGGCTCCGAACCCTGATGGTTCAAGGTGTCTGCTAGGTACCTTGAGAAATTACTGAAATTCGCGTGATCATAATTCCATACCATCAACTCCAAGTGGGAATAGTGCCAGTAACAAGAATGAACAAACCAAAGAGGCAAACGCTAGACTCCTTCGACAGCACCACTATCCCATTCGCCTCCATCTCTGGCCCGGTATCATCGTTGACAGACCAGGCTTCAGGCTAAATACAAAGAAACAGAATAACCCACGCGCCTGCAAAAACCAAACTCATCTGTTATAGTACGTCTGATGTTCCTGCCTCGTACTCATCTCCGCACGGTCATCCGGGTCCGCACTGAGCTCCTGCGGCTCCTGCGGCGGCGGCTCGTGCCGTACCTCGGCCGCCGTCGGCTGCGGTGTCTTCTGGTCGCCCCTCGCCGGCGTGTACTCGGGCAACGGCGGGCTCACCCCGGTGGCGACCTGCACCATGCTCACCTGCGGCATCCACATGTTGCCGTGGGCGTCGTACTGCGGCTGATTTAGCAGCGTCGTCGTCTCAGGGAAGTACGCCTGCTGCGGCGGGTACGACGCCGTGGACGATATGTTTGTGAGCGTCGTCGTGCCCGCGAGAGCCGCTGGTGTAGTCGTGTATGACGGCTCGGAAGGTAGCTCTACCGGCGGGCCCATGTGCGGCGGCATCGTGTGCGCGGACATTGGATGCGGTGATTGCGGATGTGCGGACAGGGGAGGAGGCGTGAATGGAGAAGGTCCGTATGGTGGTGAGTAAGGCGATGACGCGGGTGGTGACCACGCTTCTGACATGCTCTGGGCGTGATATACGTGGCTTGGTCCTGGCGGCGATGCTCCGGTGTGGAATCGGTCTGACCGACGCTTACGGACCAGGAAGAAGCATCCCAAGGCGATGGCGCCGACTAGAACTGCAGCTCCTATCGCGATGCCAATGATGGCACCTGTAGATAGGCCTCCTGTGGGAGCAGGAGTACCGGTACTGCCGACATCTCTCGTCGGCGTACGGCTCGGAATACTGGCCGTGAGCGTGATGAGGAGGCTGACGTCGGTGTAGTCGAAACCAGCCGCCGGTGCAGTCTTTGTAGCGCCGCCGTTGCCGTTGCCTCCTACTACGGCAATGACTTCGTCCGGTACGGCGTATGTTGTCTTGTTGGGCTTGTATAACTCCCAGACAACCTTGCCGGCATTCTGTTTCCCGAGGTCCGCGTTGTGGGTTCCCCACTGCCCGGGTGAATCGCAGTCTTGGGAGAGCGGAAACGTGCCACCCGAGATGATCATTTGCGCACGGCCAGGTACGATGTTGCAGGACATTGAATGGTGAGGGTAGTCTCCTGTGCCGTTGCGGCCGATGGGGTACATCTTGATCCAGGTAAAGGTTGGGATCGAGAGGATGTAGAGATCGTCGAATCCCGCGCCCAGCACTCCTGGAACATTGGCGCCACCGTACATGTAGCTGGAATATGTGTTAGATGGGTTGCAAATAGTGAGTATGGACATGAAGCAATGTACTCACATATTGTAGGACGACTGGTCTCCTGCCCAAGTTACGCCCGCGCAGAATCGTCGTCGCATTCCAGGAACATCACCTGAGGCTTTCTGCGTGTACCACTTGCTGCTGAGCACGTCGTATATGAATATCTGGTCCATGGGCTGGCCAATGGTAGAACTTCCATTGCCAGCCAGATCCTGTATGCCCCCAAAGTAGATGAGCATTCCGCCGTCTCCAGCGGGGATGTAATGCAGGCTGCCCTCGGCGCGTCGTACATTGTCAGGACTATGTAGGTGTTAGTATCATGTGCATTCGCTTGACCAAGGTTCCTCTCCTTACCCAGTGTTGTTGGCAAAGCTATTGGTATCCATGGTGTATCTCACCAAGCCAGTCGTTGCGACTGGCGGACCAGTGCCCCATCCAGGAACGGAGGCGTTGCTCAACCATCCACCATAGTAATATGCTTCGCCGCGCGTATCGACAGAGACTCCCGCGCCGTAGCTAACCTTTGATATCGAAGCCCCCGTACGAGATGGGCCGAAAGAATCCCATTGATTATTCAGGATATCATAGCCGTATAGGTTGAAGGGCATGGGCGATTCCCCTGCATTGCGTTCCCCGCCAAACAGATAGAGTCGCTTGTTGACATTGTCAGACCAAAGGGCACCGCCGGCGACGTTAGGAATTGATCCATTCTTGGAGAGATTGGCGTAAAGGGGGGGCATCCCCGAAGCCGTAGATGAAGACAGATCTTGGTATAGAAGCCATGTATCTGAACTGGGTGTTAGTGGGAACTGAATGTTGCCATTGGATGAAAAAGGAGACGGGACTGCAGGTGTGATTTTTGAGGTGATATACTTGAGTAGTTGGCTGGAAAAGATGAAAGTGGATTCCAATTCACAAGACCGCCATCGATAAAGAGCTTGTTATCGACGACAGCGGTCTGGTGCCCAAAGCGACGGCAAAAGTCGTTGACCGGATCATTCTGCGCCAAAGTTGATGCCGGGAGCAAGGCCAGGGCCAAAACCGTCAACAAGGGGCTAGAGAATGCCATTCTGTGCGGTGATCCGCGATCCGTGTTATCTTCCCGCCAGCGGTATGGCGATCCTGATCTATCCGCGGACCAGGTTCCTGGTGATACTCGACCCTCAGTCGGAAAGGATCATGCGCATAACGTGTGAAGATGAGCAAAGGGAGTGGACAGTCGGCTAATTGAGAGTTGATTGATCGAGATCTCCCACTTTGATGTATGTCTCGGGAGGTAGAAGCGGGCTACCTGGCGACTGCAAGGCAATGATCGTCTGGTCTGATACCTTGGTCTAAACAGTGGAATGTGATAAAATTACGGAATTTCTAAAAAGTTGAGATGAAGAAAATGGAAAGAAGGTAACGTAACGATGGTAGATCAGTCTTGACAGGGCATTGACTATCACTTCATTCGAGGACGAAGGACGAAGGGAAAAGGAAAGTTCAAACAAAGACAAGAACGGGGGAGGGGCCTCTCGAAGAATGGGAAAGATAGAGAAAACAGAGTTTGGGCTTGTCAACATATCGGGCTTGTTGGCAAGCACCAGCGGCAGCGTCAGAGACATTTCTGATCTGCAGCGTCCGGACCAGGCCGGATCCAGACGAGCTGGCGGGGGCTCCGTTCCAGACCAGAGGCGGACGGGTGAGGGAGCTGGACTCCTAGTCCGAGGTCTGAAGCGCCACGCATCGAGATGGTTCGCTTTGCCACGTACCCGTTGCTCTGGTCTCCTGCTGAAGTTCAATCCAGAGGTAGAGCAGATCATGCGTGAGTTTACGAGGGCTTTGCGGTAACCCCAAGGCGGTTCTTTTGGTGGGCTCGCCTTTTGTTTTGGTTGCATTTTCATGGTGTGTAAAACACAAAAGTTAGGAATACCACTTAGAGCGTGCTATTCTGTGTTGAAATTATTAGCAACCTTTACCCTTGGCGAGACGGAGACAGCTTACGGGTATCAACTATGGTGAGCCAGTGGATGCCCGGCACGCCGGATTTACAGAAGAACTCCATGGTTCCTGCTGACATACAGCACTGATCCATCATCTGCTAGAAACTGATGCAGAAGCATGGCGAAATGTAGCGTATCGGAGACAATGGAGAGTGGCAGCACCAGCTTGACACGAACACGGCGGAGGATGTTATGTGCAGTTAGACGGAATAGGGAAGCGCTTGAGCTTGGCTTGTCCTGACTTGGACTGTAGACCCAATGGGATGGCAGGATTAGCGGGACTTGGTTCAGCTTGCTCGGGACTAGTCTCCTCTGGGCTGGAAACTTCAGCAAGCCACATGGCATTTGAGTCCGCGTTCGCATGCAGGCATGACAGGGCTGAATGGGGAGAGGCGCTGTCAAAGGAGGCTTGCGGATTCGTATGTTAGCTAGGCATCATGTGAGAGTAGAGGTGCTGGCATACAATAAGCAAGTCATCGTGCAAAGCAGACGTAAAAGGTACGCGTCTTGGCCCACGTGGGGTGTTATGTAGCACAGCAATGAAGTTGAGTAATTGAAGTTGAAATCTGCGGGGATTGATATATATCTCCACCGCTTCCCAACCTCGATGTTGGTCTGACTTCTCTCAGCCCACTCAATGTTTGTACAGTATACATCCATGACTTTGGGACCTGCTTCCTTCAGGTAGCCCTAACTTTGTTCCGCCAAGACATGAGGTGTCCTATTCATAGACGGAGGGTATTTTGGGGCGGAAGCAACGCGATGTAACAACTCCGCCAACTGTTCCTTCAACCCTTCGTCCTCCGGATGGTGATGCGCAACGACCTTGAAGGAAGCAGCGCTGTCCTCCCCCAAACCCTCTCCGAGTAGACGGCGAACTATGTCTCCAGAACGGTCCACATCTGGGAAGCGCCTCTTGTTGTCCCAGCATCGAATAAGCGCCTTGACCGCAGTCTTGACATCAGAAGCAGATGAGCCCTCACCAACCCAGTGACCCTCTTTCAGCCCAAGCTTGAGATATCTCGATACTGCCGGCAGCTGAAACGCCTTGGCCGAGATGATCAGGCAGATACCACAGAGACCAGGACTAACAGGTAGACCATGCTGTCTCTGGAGAGCAAAGATGCTGTTGATAAAGGGAAGGAGGTCGACGAAGGGCCGTAACCTGGGTGGCTTGGTGAGGAGCCGAGATAACACAAAAGCAATATCCCGATCCGCGTTGTGAATGAGCTGAAATCCCTTCTCCCCATGCTGAAGTAGAAACTGCAGGTAGCGCTGAAGGCTCTGGAGATCTTCCAGTCGTCGAATAAATGCTCGAGTTTCCCGTTGGCGCTTTAGTGGTAAAGAAGCCGTGGTGGGCCTTCGTTGGAGCAACCAGCTCAAGAAGTTCTTATCGTCTCGAAGCGAGGTCAATGGAATTGCGTTCTTCGAAGCAACCGACTTCAGATCACACCAAGCATCATTCTGATGTGGTTTTTCCTCCGTTAGGCGATTCTGGGTTTGCGGACCGACTCGCGAGTCGCCTTTCAGAGCGGCCGTCATAATGTCGAGATCTGTGACCTGCCAGTGCTGATACCAAGGATGGCTGACGCTGACCTTGGCAAACTTTTCGCTGTCACGCTGGCGTTCATACTCAAAGTGCTTGATCCGTTGCCACGTGGCGTCGACAATGGAGTTCTGCTCCCATTTCTTCCTCTGAGTCTGCATCTCATCTTTATCGTATGGCCGTGCGATTGGGTTGTCCCAGCTGTCCAGGTCGAGAACCACCTCTGGCACCTCGAAGGGCCGCCATGAGTATGGGACTAGCGGCTCTGCCGGCCTCTTCTTTTCGTGAACACGCGGCCGTTGTAGCCGAGCCAGCGATGGCGCCGTAGTGTGCAAGCAAGCAGTTGCACTTCTGCGAGAGACGCCTGCGGCTCTCAGTGGCCGCATGGCTGAGGTGTATGGCGAATTAGTCTTCGATAAGCTTCGGTCACCTTCAGAGGTTATTTACGGACACGCGAGCGTTGCTCAGAAAAGTCGTCTGATCCTGGGGAGCCGCATACTGAGAGGGGGCGCGTCAAGGTAACGAGATGCAAGGGCACTCTCGGCGCAGGGGTGTTGGGGCAACGACAGGGATGACCCGGCCGCACAGCCACGGGTGTTTCTTGCAGGAGTCCGTTACCCGTATGGATCCTGCGGGGGAACGGTGGTGGGTCGATCTATTCTTCCGACCTTCAGCCACATATGCCATACCCATCAGCCACATGGGTCAATAAGGCACCTAGACTGTGGCGGCGGTACCTATCGGAGAAACGTCGGTCGAGTCGCACTTGAACATCCATTATCGTCCCCCAATGAGATCCCGCTTCTTCGTCACTTTACTTCACATCACCATACAACCACCAAAATCATTCATCGCGATTCCTGAACAACCCACATCTATACATCTTGCGACCGGCAACACCTCAGACGATTCGCAACACATCCAGAATGCCTCCTTCCAAGAAGAGAAAGACGAATATGGGTACTGCCGCCAAGGAGGAAGCCAATACTGCAGCGCCAGCAAAATCTGTCGCGCCTGAAGAGACCGAAGCAACGGAACCTAGCACGATCACGAAAACCGCATCCGCGACAGCAGAAACCGCAGCAGCACCACCACAGCTCACAGCGGAAGATGCCGCGGCAAAATCACAGGACCGCTTGGCGCGCTTCAAGGCCCTTAAAGCCCGCGCTAAGAACTCGTCCGACCAGAATTTGAAAGAGGCGACGCTCGAGTCACAACGTCTCGCATCAGACCCCAGCCAGCTGACGGCGATCCACCGCAAGCAGGCCGTCGCTTCGCAAAAGCTGCTCAAGGCCGACATTGAGGACGCTGGTGGCGACTTTGAGCGGAAGCGCGCCTGGGACTGGACGATTGACGAGAGCGAGAAGTGGGATAAACATGTGAAGAAGAAGGAGGCGCACCGCGACAACAACGCATTCCAAGATTACACTGCCGAAAGCAACAAGGTGTACAAGCGCCAGCTGAGGAATATTGCCCCCGACATGGAAAAGTACGAAAAGGACAAGATGGCGGCTATCGAGCGCGCCGCTGCTTCGGGCGGCCTCGATATTGTTGAGACCGAGGACGGAGAGCTCATCGCGGTGGATAAGGACGGGTCTTTCTACTCGACAGCCGACTCAACCACGTTCGCACAGAATAAGCCGGACAAGGCGGCAGTGGACCGGCTGGTGGAAGACCTTAGGAGGGCGGAGGCGAACAGACTCAAGAAGAGAAAGGACCGCATGGCACAGAACGGCGACGACGGTGACGTGACGTACATCAACGAGAAGAACAAGCAGTTCAACCAGAAGCTGGCGCGCTTCTACAACAAGTATACTGCGGAGATTAGGGACAGCTTTGAGCGAGGAACCATGATTTAAGCGCTGGCGTTTGGGATAAATTGGGATGCTCTTGCGTTCAGAGACCTGTTTAATGTACCTGCATAGTCCGGCTAGGAATCTAAAGAGTAACGGTGCTAACCGTACGTTCCTTCCAACGTTCATCCGATCGCCTTTCCCCGTTGCCAGAATATACACCCGAATAACACAGAGGGAAGCCCTTATACCCCCCCTCAAATCCATTCCCGTCACCAGCCAGCAGGCACCCGTCTAGGTCGACGGGCCAGGTCGAACTGGCTGGGTGGGGGAGTGGTTAATGGTCAACAATCTATACGCCAACCAGCCTACTCGACGACAGGCTTAGCGAGTACCCGAGTTCAAATCCCAGCATAAGCACCAAGAGATGTAGCCACACCGGTGGTGAACTCTTTTTTTCGTCTTGCGGGTTAATTGATACCTTGGGTTTGGCTTACGAGGACAGAGGTAAAGTCTACTTGATCTGCTCTAGAGATCAAGGTTGGAGGATGGCTTTTCAATCCATTTCAAGGCTTCGCATTGGAGGATGGTACAGTCTATGGCATATTACAAATACAATCTTCTCAATACATCAGAGCATCGTTTTCCTCCAGCCCTTGGTTGCCAACTCCTCAAGCTCGGGAACCTCAATCGGGCCCTGAACCTTAATGTCATCAAGTGCTTCCACCACTGCTTCCGCGACGGTCTCGACCGGCAGAGGCTTCACGCCGCTCGCGCCCATGAATCCGCTCAACACGCCACCGGTCAGTCTGTTGAACAGGGCACCCGCGCCCGTCATGGCGGCCAGGGGCAGCGTGAACTTCCTCGAACTGTCGTACATGAAGGGCGGCCTCGGGAAGATGCCCCTCATCCGCGGGAACTCGCTGGCGATGGTGCTCTCGGCCTCGCGCTTGGTGGTGATGTACCGCGCGGGGAGGACGGGCGCCCCTCCAGCGGCAGAGACGTAGACAAAGGCCTTTGCATCCTCAGCGTTGGCCTGCTTGGCCAGGGCGATGGCGCTATCGCGGTTCATGACCTCGTAGGAGAACTGGTCCTTCGGGTTGGGCGGCTTGAGGTCCGCCCCGGGGCCGCCGCCCGGCTCGGCGGAGGTCTTTAGGGGGTCGACGCCGCGGTCTTTGACGGGGGCGAAGGCCTTTTGCAGGCCCGAGACGGGGGACTCCTGGCCCGAGACGACGCCCTTGTAGTCTGCTTCGAGGAGGATGCCCATGCTGTGGACGACGAAGTCGGCGCCCTTGAGGAGGGGCGCGTAGGTTACTGGGCTGAGCATGTCGGCGCGCTCCCAGGAGACTTTGTGTGACCATTGGGGAGGGGATGGTGATGAGGTTACGGCGGACCATTTGGGCTCGCCTGAGCGGCTGTGGAGAGGACGTGTTAGCGGGGATGAAGGGAGAAACATGAGATTGGTTCACGAGGAGGATGAGTACCTGATGGATGTGACGTCCCAGCCCCTGGCGACGGCATACTTGCAGATTCTTGACCCGAGGAAGCCGTTGCCGCCGCACACTACGAGCTTCTTCGCTACGGCTGAGGTTGACATGATGAGAGTGTGACTGAATGAAATGAACGGGACGATGTATGAGATGAGGGTGACCCAGGCAACCAATTGGATGAGAACCAGCACTAATTGGAGGTGACAAAGTGCAGTGAGACGAAAGGAGAGAGTGAGCCGGATCGACGGTGATGGAGTCAAATTGAAATGCCGACCGGGTTCGGCGCTAGGTGATTGCCAGATTTCTTCCGAAGGTGGTTCGATGCCGTTCCGGACGCGGATGGAAAGCTCAAAAAAGTCATGAAATCATCACCCGTCCGGAAGCTGCCCCAGCTACCCAGCTCCCCAGTTAAAACCTGTCAGGGGTCCTTCCCTATGATGCAGGCTGAGGTGCTGCAGGTGCTGCACCAACTAAAGAGTTGCAGCTAGCTACAGGGGTTGGAGTGGCAGTTCTTCCCCCAAGCTCCCCATTGGCTCGAGATTCGATGTGCGCGATGGTGGCTGCACCTTCCACTGTTTCCAGCTTACCTTATCTTACCTACCTTGATACTGCCCAAACTAGAAGAGGCTCCAGAGATCGGAGATGACTTCGTAATCCAAGAAGCAGTCGAAATAAATCACAAAATTCAAAGTACTACAAGATTATAAAGGCCGAATCATTCTGTATTCCTGTCACCATTGAGTGGTGCTCGCTTCGTTACCCTTCACACAAGGAGATTGACCCTCGATAGCAATGTTTAAAGACTTATAGACCGCTGCTTCCTGGATTTAACACTGAGGTGATCGAGGTAAGAATACCTGGGAACTTTGCGGGCAATCACGCAGTGCAAGGAACATTAAGTCCTTGAAGGTAACGTACGGAGTTGGCACGGCGCAAAGGGTCTCTTCGGCAGGGGCTGACCCGAGAGAGACGGTCATTGTTGGCTGGTTTACTGGATGCCCCACTTCAAACTTTGGCGTAAGGCTGTCTACGCCAGGAACCATTTTCTTACCATTTTCTTGCCGTCTTAGCTTGCGGTCCATTTTCGACAACACCCAAATCTCCCCACTACATCCTCACAAACTTACTCAGGCACTCTCATTGGGCATTGACCAGAACGCATCGCATCACCCGAGCAACACTTATCTAACCCATCAATATGGCGCCGCCCAGCAGCCTCGGCAAACGCGTAAAGGGTACACAGATTAAACGACCCTTCATTTACGGCACGACCGCCCGACCCTTCGACCCCGAATCCAACCCCAAGCCGGAAGGCGTACCGGCAGATCACACCCATTCATGGGAGGTCTTTGTCAAGGCCATCGACGATATCGACATCACGTACTGGATTCGGAGAGTGCAGTTCAAGCTACACGAGTCCATTCCTAACCACGTTCGCAGTAAGTTGCCTTTGCACCGAGTCCTGGCGCAATCGTGCGCTTGCTGAACCACCACTCAGTGATCGACGGCGAACCGGGCAAACCGTTCCTTATCCAAGAAACCGGATGGGGAGAGTTTGAAATCACCATCAAGATCTACTACGCGACCGAGTCGGGAGAGAAACCTCAGACGCTGTACCACAACCTGCGTCTTCACCCATACGGACGGACCGACGCCGAGAAGGAGCAGATGCTGCGACAGAACGACGGCGAGATCCGCGCTTGGGCCTACGACGAACAGCTTTTCAACGAGCCGTACGAAGCCTTTTACGAAGTGCTCACCTCCGGTGCTCATCCCAAGGGCCACACAGTTGGCAAAGGAGGCAAAGGCAAGAACAAACCGATCCCGGCCTTGCCAGAGAAGACATCAAACGTCCAGGTGGCGTGGGAGCGCAGCGCACTGCTGCCCGCCGTCAACAAGCCTGGCCAGCCGTTCAGTCTCGAGACCGAGCAGATCGAGGTCAAGAAGCTCAAGGAGGCCGAGACCACGGCCAAGGGAATGGCCAAGCAGCAGCTGGAGATTCTCAAGGAGAAGGAGGCCCAGCTGGCTGCGCTAAAAGCAGAGAACGCTGCTGCTGCTACGGCCGGTTAGGAACCGCCCAGTGTAGCAGCTAGAAGACCTGCTCGTAAGGTGGCTGTCGCGTCCCATCTACTTGCCTTGTCCAAGGACGAGGAGAGGCTCAAACGCGTCAAGGCAGAGTTGGAGCTCATTAGCCAGCGTGTCTAGGAGCACAGAGCCTACCAACCGTCTAACAACACGGTGCTGACTCTGCGTCTGGCATTCTTATTGATATCGGTTGCATTACTCTTGCGAACTCCGTCCAAGCAGGATTACTTTTGCGCAATGTATCGAGATCAACCCAGGCTGCGAGGCGGCGGCGATGATACGGAAGACGATGAGATGGACTGTGGCAGCTCGCCCATCCGCCATCAACAGGAGCCACGCTTTAGAACACCAAGCCCCAGGCGTAACAACAACATGGATACCGCCATGACCGATGGCGAACAGCAGTGGCCAGCAGAGCCTCCTGGAGCCCCGAGATGGCATCGAGATGAGAATGATTATCGGAATAGGCCAACGCAGGCGTTAGCGGCTGGCGTCGCGGGCTCGACAAACCCTCATGTGGAGGTCAATCATGGTCCTGGGATTGGCGCGCCAGACACCGGACCAGGACAAACATATTGTCTCTTCCACTCAAACTACTCCGCATCGGCGCGCTCCCAGTGTCGACTGGTACCGAACAGTAGCCTCGAAGAGATGTATAACTGCGGTAGCCAAGTTCAAGAGCCTGCCCCACCGACAAGGGTCGACGCAATCGCAGACACGATGTCGATGCATTCTCAGACGAGCAGGGACGAGCCAGATGTACAGATGTCGGACGATACTTCGAGTCAGTCTACGATACTGAGTCCTCCTCCGGCGCCGCCCGGCGTACAGGTGGGAAAGCGGAAAGCATCACCGGAAGCAGAACTGCCCGAGAAGAAGAGGTCAAAGGACGAGGGTCCGACTGGTGGGCCGGACGGTGGACAGGGCTATCTCTGACAGCAAGGCTAGCACCAGGCATTCATACATACATATTTTCATGACAGCGCAGATGGCAGGGAGCCTTGCTTCGACTGTGGAGTTACAAAAACGAGCGATAAAAGCACGGTCCGGCGGTGAACAAAAAGTTATACCTCACATGCAAGTTAAAGCGGTGTGAACAACGAAATGCATAGAAGATGGGAGTTTTTTGATTTCTTCAGATATGCCTAAACTTGACATGCGTCTAAGCGCCGTGAAACTCGTCTTGTGAGCCAGGGCCTGAAATGGTAATTTTGATCGCAAGTGACACAAAAAATGGATATCCACGATATTTCCGTCTTCCATCAACGGCGTTCCTCCTCTTTCAATCAATCAAAATCTGTGATGGGTGATTTCCAAGCAAGCCCGATTCCCTTCTGTCCCATGTGTTGTTGTACACACCAGCTCTACCCATCCGATCCATCGAGGTGTTCGGTGGGGATGATTCGCGATACGATATTTCTGAAATGACAAAGGAAAAAAAAGTTGTGATGGTTGTGATGTGTTCTGTATAAATCAGCCCGCCTCATTGGCGAGCTATTTGGGGTGGTGTAGTATACCGATGACTTTTATGACTCCGAGGTAAAACAGCCGCCCTTTTTTTCTCGTAAAAAAGGGAAAATCAACTGTTTGGTCGTGGCGTCATCGTGTAAACTAGCGTGGTTGGTTGGCCTCTGTCTTCATCCCAACCCGAGAATCCAAATATGTAATCAGAGTGAGGCCGTTTCTCTCTGATCCAATCCCATTCTTTTTGTATGATACCCGGTATCCCCCTTTGTTTCCCTTTCAACGCCATGTGATATGTACACATTAACACTAATAGCAAAATGGACAAATGGATGTACCATTGTCGTCCATGGTTAAAAAAACAAAACCAAAAAGTTGAGGAGTTTCCCCTAACGCCATGCGAGGAGGAAGTGATGGAACAGATGGAAAGGAGATGCAGTCCAGCAAAGTGGATGTATGGTGATTCTGCACAATTTGTACAGTCACCTGTGGTAAACAGGTGATTTAAGTTGATGCTTCGTAGGCTGGGGGCGGGACGTCTTCCCGCTCGTCCCAGAGGTTGGGGTGGCGGCTCTTCTCATCGTAAACGCGACGAGCGATTTCGCCAGCCATCTTCATGATCCAAGCCTGCTCATATACAGATGACGGCTCGGATGGCACGCCCTGGCGCGGCTTCTCCGCGGCGGCCTTCTCGTTTTGGGCTTGGGGCGTAACGGCGGGTTCGGACTCGCACGCGGTGTCCAGTTTGATAGGCACACTAGCACCATCCTGGGGCGCCGTGTAAAACTCCGGCTGCAAAGGAGGTCGAGAGGGCAGCCGCGTTCTCTCCAGAGGGCCGAAGCGAACCTTGCTAGGGGTCGATTCTGCCAGATTCGCCAACGCTTTCTCCTCCTCGATGTCTTCAGCGATGGAACTGGTCATGAGAGGCTCAGTTGAGGGACCGGCGACAGACGCAGAGTCGGATGCCATTTCTGAATAAGTCTCGCTGCCCTCGGGAGTCTCGCCAACTTGACTCTTTGAGCGTCGGAGGTTGACCACTCTTGTCTTCTTCTTGCGACCAGCGTACGACTTTGACCGGATACCGGCACCCAAGGACAGACCAGTAGTGGCCGAGCTGAGGCTCACCATTGACGGTCTGGACGGAAGGTGGCCATGAGCGGCGCTGCCAGTATCGGAGAAAGTGTACGTGGTAGACGTTCCATGGAAGGAGTTGGTCTTGGACAAGCTAGGCGTTGCTGTCGGTGGGGTGCTAGTCGGCTCGGACACCGCAGGTCCTGTCCAGGCACGGAACACGACATCACGAATGCCCGGGGTGAACAGAGAGAATGTGCGGTGGGAGTCGTTCAGCGCAGCTAGTCTCAAGAGGTTCTTCTGGGAGAAGAGCGACTGGACTTCCGGGCCGCCTTCGAGAGATAATGAGGAAACCTCATTGGCGTCGAGAAGATTTCCATTCGCATCAACGGGATCCAGAGGAGGGCTCGCCAAGGGATCAACTTCAGCTTCTTCCTCATCCTCCTTGGGTGCCTCTTCCTCCTTTGGCAGAGCATCGGGACACCACAAGCGCAAAGAAAGCCGGTGGATAATGGCGGGGAGCTCGTCCATCATCAAATTTCTTAATTGGGACTCGATAGTGCGCTGTAGATAATCGCGCACGAATGGGATCGAGTCAAAGGTCGAGGAGACCTTGAGCGACTCGAGCGGGTCATTGCGGAAGACCAGGGTCAACCCCTTTTGCCGTGAGAAGACTAGGATAATGAAGGCTGAAAGCTTGATCTCAGAGAGCGTTATTGACAGCGGAATTGTAAGACCCGATGCGGCGGCCAGTGGCTGCGGCGATGTGAACCCCGGCTTGGACGACAGGTAGGTGTTCATTGGATTTGCCTATTTGTTGATATATTAGCATTGCTATGACGCACGTGCATTTTGGGGGGCAGCCGAAGGTAGTAACATGGGACGCGGATCCCGGCCAGGTAATTTCGACCTCAATGCGAGCACACGGGTAGGGAAGAAATGTTTGGTGAGGGAAAAACAAACGCAAGGGTGAATGGGGTAACGATAGCGGGAAGCATCTGAAAAACTAGAAATGATTGTGGTTGGTGAAATGATGATGTTTTCGGGGGGAAAGCATCACTGGGTGCTGTCTCGGCTTTCCGATGGGGGCCCTCAGGGCATTCCAGACGCTGGTATGGGAGTCATGTTCGCGACGCAGAATTGATCTGGCGCACTGCGATAACGACTGGAACGGGAATTATTCCGAACTCGTGAATGTGATGTCGTGGTGCAGGCATTGGCGAGCTCGTTGCGGCGGCGGCTGCGAACCCGAGCTTCGCCTCTGGAGTTTGCGTGCAGGGAGGTACCTGCGGAATAGAGGGAACGAAAAAAAAAAAAGCAGCATACCTGAACCCTCGTTTTCAAGGTCAAGAAGGCGTCGCCCGAATAGCACATTTTGAATATACCGCGAAATCGGTCCTCGGCAATGTCGCCAATCTCTAATATTTCCAATTCCGGGGGCACGGAGCCCAAGTTGAACTCGGTAACGAGGATGTCATCGACGATAATCGGAGGCTTCGGGTTCTTGTTCAGGGCGGTCGTGAGCAGCTCTCGTGCGCGCTGGTAGAACTCTGCGTCGGCCGTGAGAGGCGACCAGTTGAAGTTGAAGGCCATGTTGAAATGGCTTTAGCTGCGGCCAACCATCGAAGAGCAAGGTGATGCAGGCCGGTCGGCCGAGGGTCGATAGGGAGAGACGGATGAGTTGGTGATGTCAGGTACGGTGCTTCGGGATCAATGACGAAAGGTTTGCGTCGATATCGGGTTCGAAGGCAGTACAAATAGTAGAACGGACTCGTTGAGGAGCAGGTGCAATTAGATGATATAGTCCGGGGAAGAGAGAGTTGGATGGTCTGGGGAGAAGGCGGAGGGATAATGAGGGTGGGAGGTGTCGGGATGAAGATCAAGCTTGTGGTGCTTGTTTGTGTGGTAGAGAGGAAATGGAGGTAGGTAGAGTGCGGTGCGCGGGAGGCGTGCGTTTTCCGGCGAATGACGCTGGTTGTATGTACGGAGTGCCTAGGCAAGGTGCCTATCTCCTTCTCCTTCTTTCGCTGTTCGGGAAGCAGAGGGAATACTCGGAGCTAAGTGGTGCGTGCGGTGCCGATGCAGCATTAGCGCGAATTTTTGCAAAAAATTGTGCCGGCTGTTTTTTTTTTTCTTTCTGCTGTTTCGCTTTGGCTGTGTTCTGACTGGGTGGATGACCAGGTGCTGTGACAGATGCGACTCCCCTTTGCTGGGGCTGGCTCCTGCGAGTGTCGCGTGTGGTGCGGGAAAGGGTCACTGGGCGGGGCCACCAAGAGGCAGGAGCGTGTGAGCGTCCACTTGAGCGCGTCCCAGCTTTGGAAGGGTCGGGTGGGCATTACCTTTGGTACCTACCCTCTACCTCGAAGTATTCCGTCCAGGAGGTACCTACCTTACCTCCAGTTCCTCCCACCGAGAGGACTCCAGTTTTCCACTGCAACGGCCTGCAGCGTGACGGGCGCCCCCAAGCCACGGCCGGCTCCCGTTGAAAAAGGAGGAAGGACTCAGAACCCAAGACCTGGAGTGGGAAGGGAAACGGTGGGTCCACCCTCTCAGTGCAGGACCCAAGAGTCAAGACTCCAGAGTTCGCTGCAACCTCACCCTGCTTCTGCGTGGACACACTGGAGATTCACATTCACTGCCACGCTGGGCACCATCAACGGCTAATGATATGCTATGCGCCGGATGTACCTAGTGCCGCTGGCCTGGTTGGTTCATTTGCATATTTGCTTGTGAAGTTGCAACAGAGCCGGAGGTTCGCAAATTAGCGGTTATGCGAGTCACTCGAGGACCTCCAATTCCATCGGCCGCGCAAGGTACCAAGCTTACGGATACCGAATGCTATCGAAAGTCCCGAGGTACGGTACCGGTGACACGAATGACCACCTTGAACATCAAGAGATGCGCCAGACGAAGCCTGCACCAAGGCACCGGAACCAAAAGACGGTGGACGATTTAGAGTTGTACCCTCGTTTCCACAAGCGCGGCGAACCATCTGGGGAATCGAATCAAATCGAGTATCCCAAAGAACTCTTCAGCAAGATCTGGGCTGGCCGACACTTCAGCCCTTTGGATCCCGCCCTAGTCGGGGTGGAAAGCCCGCTTCCAAGGTGCCATTGCGTCTTTTTGCTCTCTGGCTGTTGGTCCGTTGCTGCCCGGGGGCCGATCACGAGCTGGCTTGTCAACAAACATGGGACGATATCGAAAGACATGTGCTGGATGTGGTCCGACATCAGGATACTCTAATGCGAAAAGCATAACCTGACAGCCAGGTATTCTGATAATTGCCAGAAATGCAGGGCCTGCTTCTTCTGCCTGTCCCCTTTGGGAGCTTGCCCATGCCTGAAGGCTGGATTTGGCAAACAAGATGACATGGTCTTATTCAATCCATCTGGAGCCATGCGACAAGGGAATCCGTCATATCAGCATCCACAGTGATGCCCCTCGGTTTTCAGAGAGACACGAACAATCCGGAATCAAAGTCTTGTCGCCGGGCCGGGCTGAGCAGGGTTGACTGGGCAGAAGATCATATCATCGCGGCGCTCGAATCGCTCTCGGGTCCAACATCCTGTCCGATTTGCTGGTCAGTGCCCCCATCCCTGCCATGACTGATCTTACCTTATTCTTTCTTGACTGCTTCTAATTATCAGGTTTACTTCCATTCTCTGGACTCTGGAGTCTGCCATCGCGTGTCTCCCGTCCAATGTCTCGTTCTCCTTCAACTTTCCCCTCCTTCTCTCCGCGGACCTTGGACCCATCATTCCTTCAGTCCCAGGTCATTGAACGCTTCTCCGCAATGCCCCGCTCTTCGGGGGAAAGGAGCCAACGGGCGACGCCAGCAAGGAAGAAAACGACGCAATGCGCCCTAGGCTTTCTGAGCCTCCGAAGTCCAGCCTACTACGTACCTACCTACTTCGTGCTGCTCTAGGGAGTGCCTTAGGTAAGCACGTGCAAGGTATCCAAAGATGTCCCGCCGGGCGGGGTAGGCGCTGGCATGAAGCGGGCAAGCCGCGAACCTGCCCGTCCATTCACGCGCTGTATAGGCCAATCTTCGGTCGTGCTCCGGCTCAGTCCGGCCGAAGAATCGCGCGTCGCCAATGCTGCACCCAATCGTGCCCTCTTTCTTTTTCCCCTCTGGCTGCATTGGATCAGCATGGGGGGCTTTAGCTCGATAGCCGCACTCACGTCAAGCATGTGGGTTTGACGCGCGCGCCGTGCCAGTCATCGCAAGCATTGGATGAGGAGTTCCTGCTAAGACATCTGGGTCCTCTGGAATCCTGGGTTCCATCTCTGCAACCGCACATTGAAGAAGAAAATCAACCTCTCACAAGATTCCGGGGTAAAAACTTATGTAACACAGTACATACCCTGCGGTGCCTGTGGTAGCTTCCTGTCCAACGCTCTCGCCAAAAGGACCAGAATCAGATATGACAGATGAGCCGCGACTTGCTGTAACTTGTGGGAGGAGTCATATTGGCCACCTCGTCAGCCTCTCCCGCCCCAGGGAAGTTGCCTGTCGTGTCCGTCTGCTACCGTTACGTTGTTGCCAATAGTGTCAACGAAAAGTAGGAACTCACAAGCTTACCCAGCAGCCAGCGCCAAATCAGCCAACTTTTCTGCTCCACACCCGAAGCGGAAAGTCTGTCGTCATCCCGGGATACCGCTGGCTTCTAGAGGACACAACAAAGGTGCAAAAAATCACACAAAAGGGAGGGCCGTTGTAGCACAGAGCACAAGCAACCAAATGGAGCCTCGTCGCAATCGCTCCCCCATCGGAAATCCATCTTCTAACCAAGGGGAACCATAGGAACGTGGGCAGGCAACGGTTGCGCGCTCATTCGATACTCGACTCTGGCAACGCTACCTTAGATCAGACAACTACGAGTCGGCTGACGACGTAGACTACCTACCTTACCTTACTCGCAGCGCTCCGGTTCCGTCCTCTCTTTGGAAACTACCTTCCGACCAGTCTCACGTGCTTTCAAGCGTTTACTCACCCGTGAGGTGTACTGTTCCTGCAAAGGCACCGAGCCAGATCAGGCAAGAGCGGAGAGGCGGGAGCGAGAGACAGAGAGAGAGAGAGACGGGAGGGTTGTTGGCGTGAGACACCTCCAAGTCACCACCGCCAACCTTGGAAAACTGCGCTTTGCTAGACCACTTGCTGCTGCCACCAGTTGCGGCAGGTAAGCCATTGGATCTTACCTTAGTTCAGCTGGGAAAAAGACACATTCCTTCCAGACTACCGTACCGCCTTCCTTACCTCTTTGCAACTCGCCATGAGAGTCTCTTCTCTTTTCACACAGACATCATCGCTTAATACGGTCGCCTTGTGAAGCCATCTGGACGCCTTACCTACCTACTATTCGCCTCGATCCAGCCACTCGCTACCTCAATAGCAGGCTCTCGCAGCTCGCCAATCTTCAGCCCCTCGTCCGTATCAAAGAGTCTACACTCGTTGCCAACACTAGGCCTCCAATCTCCAACACACAAGTCTCGCTTCATTCCGCTTTCCTCGTCATGGCCAAACTATTGATCCCTCCCACATCGATCAATACCAAGCTCAGTGTGAAGGCGGTTGCAGAGATATCGTCCAAAGATGTCCCCAGGGAGCATAGCCCAGCATCGGGCAAGGTCTTCAATATGGGAGTGCTAGTATCGGACGAAAATGTTCATGTTAGCCCCTGGACACACGCCATTTATGTCGGTGAAGGTGCTGCCAACGTTCTATTCATCCCGTTTCTATATACCAAGTTTGCGCGGCAGGATGACAAAGACAGGACCGAGGACGACTTATTAACAAGTGGGTTTCACATATCTCTTACATGCCCCATCCTGAACTACTACTAATGCTGCTTTTAGAATACCTCTTGAGAGTACCAAAGCAACCCAAAGGTGGCGACAAACCATTCTATCCGCCAGAAGAGCAGTGGTCTTATTTCTGGGACACCATTGCTCCTCTCTTCACCTACCGCGCGGATATACTAACCGACATGAAATATGCATTTCTCCCAAAAGACGCCATGAAGCACATGCAGAACGTCCTGGATGCGCTGAACAAAGCTCCGGCGGGAGCCAAAAAGCGACCCGCCAAGTTCGAAAACACCAAGATCATGGAAACAGATAGGGCCTGCCTGATCGAGAGCATGCGCGCGCGGAGCGCCGACGAGCGCGTAGTCGAATTCAAGCCAAAATGGCTCGCCCAGTCGCCATCCGCGCCGAGAGACGCCAACACTTGTCGCTGCTGCGCACTCGCGGCCAAGAAGTTCAAAGACAGCAAGGACGCCGGTAGCAACCCGCGGTACTATCCGTGTCCCCTCTGGTTGGACCCCGAGAGAGAGACACCGAAGGGCAGGGAGGATGTGCGTCAAAAGGTTATCTCCAGCTTGTTTCAGTACAGCAGCGCCGGAGACAACAAGCACGCCTCTATCCTGTACGAACTGCTGAAGAAGACGCCCATCCTCACCTTATTGAAAAGGCACCAGACCCAAAAGGATCCCCGCGGGCCCCTGAACGCGCACAAAAACGACGAGGAGTTTAGTATCGCCATGACGTTGCGAGACTGCTCCCTCTACATGCGATACCGCCTCGAGAAGAAGGGCTCACAGGAGATTGTGGTTGCGGACTCGTTTGAGGCCAAACTTGCCGATCTCGACAAGAAGAACGTGTCCTGGAAGTTTCAAGAGTGGCAGGAGAAAGAGCGCGCGTTGATCGACGAGGGCTGGTACACCGGGCGCGGAAAGATGGTGAACTGCGCACTCCAGGCCTAAAGGACGTCGAAGCCAAAGCGGCTGTACAGTAGTAGTGTATTTGTAGCAAAACAAAGCGTAATGTAATTTTTGGAACACCACGACACCACGTCCGACAATCATCCATACAATCTTCAATTGCGTTGTCTTCCGTTTGAATCAATAATGGATTGAATAATGCGTGTCTTTAGGGTCAACTATTATTGACCGTCTTTATGACAGTTATCATACCCACGTCCTCCTACCCCGTATGCTCAAACGCCATCCAAAGACCAATTCAAAAGTATGCCAAATTGAGATAGAAATTATGCACATCTCCCATTACGCCGTACACATGCAAATTAACCAATATACCCATTACTCAAATACCACCAGCAGTAAAGCTCAAAAGACTACCCGTCGTCAACCCAGCAACGAGGCACAAGCCCATGAACCCGCCCGTGGCCTCGCGCTCGCCGTCCTCGACCCACTCGCCCGCGGCCATCATGCAGCTTGAGCCGAGCCAGCCGTTGGTCAGCCCGAAGAAGAACTGCACGACCACCAGGTAGAAGAAGTCGCTGCTGACGACGGCGCCGCGGCCGCCGATGTTACACAGTAAGTAAAGCGGGAGGAAGCCGATGCGGGCGAGGCTGACGCCGAAGAGGGCCGCGGGCCGGTGGCGTAGGGAAAAGGGGAGGATAGTGGCCATGCGGCCGGAGAGGTCGCCAAGGTTCCAGGCGAAGAAGGCAAGAGGGATAAAAGCGGCCGGGCGGAAGAGGATGCCTGCGGGGGACTTTTCATCGCCTGGGTAGCGGACGGATAGGATCTTGCCCGTGAAGACGGGGAAGAACATGGCGACCGAAAAACACATGAAGATGGCACCGGCGAGCCAGTGGAGCTTGCGGAGTAAGGTGAGCGGGGAGACGACCTTGCGGGCGGCGCGCTCGGCTTCTTCGACCGAGGTGAGGGACTCGGCGAGGGTGTTGACCATGCGGGCTTCGATGATGCGGTTGTGGCGGCGGACGAGGGGGATAAAAGCCAGCAGGGCGGAAACGGAGACGGCGACGGCGGCGAGGAAGTAGACGAACGCCGAGGAGGACGAGGACTTGATGTCGTCTTGGGCGGTCGTGGTGGAGTTCGTGGTGTCCTTTTCGGGGACGACGAGGACGGTGATGACCTGCGCGATGGGCGGGAGGACGCCGGCTACACCTTGCCCCGCCATCAAGGCCTGCATGTACTCGGGCCGACCAAAGGAGGCGGCGAAGGCGAAGGCGCCGTTTTGGATGAGCCCTGTGGCCCAGGAGCTGGAAGCGACCATGAGGAGAATGAAGGCGAGGTAGGCGCCGGGTGAGACGTCGAGGGCGAAGGAGGTTGAGGCCGTGAGGAAGGAGAAGATTACGCAGTTGAGGAGGAGGGCGAGGTTGATGCGGAAGGGGTAGGAGGCGGCGTATTGGATGTTCGTGAGGATGAGCATGGCGGTGAGGTTCGTGAGGGTCGAGACGGTGAGGATGGCGGATTGAAAGTTTTGGGATATCCAGACGTCGGATTGGAAGCGGACTTGGAAGTATGGGGCTGCTGCGAGGAACATGTTCCTGTATAGAGAGTCGTGTTAGCCATCGTTGCTTTTGCCCATTGGGGGAAAAGGGTGTTGGTGATGGGAGAGCGAATGTCGACGTACCAGGCCCATAGCATCGCCATGCCCAGCCAGGCGAACATGATGTACTCGGTCCACGAGAACGGCACCTCCTCCGGGTCTTCCTCCAGCGTGGAGCCGTCGAGTTCCCGGCCCTCCTCGGCGAGAGGCTCGTACTCTTGCCGATCCGGCTTGTGGTGCTTGCCTAGCAGTTCCCTGATGCGCTCCATCTTGTGTTATCTGTCTCGCCGTCGGTGGGTGTAGGTTGGTGGTGAAAGATGGCGATCTGCCTCAGCTCGAGAGTCAATTCCGTCGAGGTCCGGAAAGTCGATTACGGATACGTTGCCTGAATTACAGGTGGGAAGAATGCAGTACGTTGTCAGTAGGACAACCCGCGTAGAGGGAGTGATCGAAGCTAAGGGCGTGTATGGTCGTCGTTTAGATTTCCCGTCGGTATCCGTCCTCCCGTTCGAACAGAATCCCGAATGCGCCGGCTCGTGTGGGCTAGTCGAATAATGACCGAGTCGCACAGCTCCCTGGGGCTCTTGAACCGTTCGAGGTATCACGAGGTTGCACGTGTAAACAGGGCGACTCAAAGGGACGTTGTTGACGTTGGGGAACGAGTAGAAGAGAGACAAGCAATCATGCGCCGCGTTCACCGGATCGCTGTCGTCCACTCAGATGGTGTGGAGAAGTCGATGACCACGCGCCGGGCATCTACAGATCTGGGCCACCTGGGGTTGGTCGAGCAGGGCCGCAGGCACTACTCTCAGGACGTGGGGGTTTCTATAGGTACTGATTACCTCAGCGAGATCTTGCGGGCTGCCAGGCCCAAGACGGGCCCCTGCGCTTGCGGTATAATAAGCTTATTCCTTAGGCGCTGAGAGCCCAGCTCACACCTTCGTTCGAACTGACGTTGGCTGATGACCTGATGTTCTCGGAATGACAAACTCAGAGAAGTCGGAATTACGCACGTATGCAATGGACCTGGACTGTCAGCATCCTCCGAACTAAACACCCACACAGGGATATGGCTCCTCAGCCTTGCCGGCCCTGTGCCCAAAGGGCGTAAAAGAGGTTGGGTGTTCAGCGGAAGGATTCTACAGTCTGACACGCATGAGCGGCATCGCAATATGACAGCTTCAGGTCGTTCCCGAAAGCGGATCTCGAATTCAACATCCAATGAGATGGTTGCTGCCACGGCTTAAGCGCTTCACCGGAGCCGGGCTTGGGGGAGTTTATCTTGGTGCCTGGCCAGCACCCTGTCCTCTGATGTTGCATCATGCCCCTGTTGGCCGCAGTCAAAGTTCCCTTTTGTTGTGAGCTGAGAATGCTGTGGTGTAGGAGAACAACTGATAAATGTATCCAAGTTTCCGGGTGCGATATGCATCCTGGGTGAGATGTCACTGTCGAGTGATGCCCGTCAAAAAGGGAGGACCTTACAATGACTGAAGTTCGTTTGACTGGTGAAAGGGGAGAGCCTCTCGTCCCTCTTCTGCATCCACAAGATGGCGGCCCGCCAGGACGTCGAGGAAATTTCCTAGACCAAAATGACACTCATGATTTCAAGGATATAGAAAGGTGATTATAATCCCAGTTGCCCATGAAACAGAACTAGACCTCAAGCTGGGGTACAAATACCACAAGCCAGGCTGTAAGTGCTGACCTGTCGGCTAGACTCAACGACCAAACGTCTCCCTACGAAGTGTATGAAGGCAAGTTCAGCTTCAGAGCTGTCCTTCAAAACACGCTCAAGGCATGGAGCTTCCACTCCCTCTATCGCCTCTTCTACAACGTCCGCGACTCGATTCGCAACCAAACAAAGGTCGTCATCTTCAAGAACCGGCCCATGGCCCTCCTCGCCATCATGGTCCACGTCCCGCCCCTGGTCGCCACCGCCATCATGAGCCACCTCATCTACCACGAGTACTGGATCGGCGCGGACCTCACGCCGAACCGGGAGTGGGACAAGTCAGCCAACCTGCTGATCCAATTCGCCGCCAAATTCCTCGAGATCATGATCATCGGCTCCCTCACCACCATGATCTTCACCTTTGTCCGTCGCGAGGTGACGCTCGGCCAAGGGACACCGCTGGCGGCTTTCTTTGCTGGGAACAGCTTCAGCTCGCCCGAGTTCCTCTGGTCCGACGAGATGACGGCCATGCTGCGGGGGCGCTTCTCGACCGTCTGGAAAAAGGTCTTTTTTGTCTCCTTCCTCGTCATGTGCTGCGTCCTAGCCGTCGTCGTGGCGCCCGCGACAGCCACCGTCCTGACGCCCTTGAACGACTGGTGGATGATGGGCGGGTCGTGGGTGTACATTGATAAAGCCGGCGCCGACATCTTTCCCCGGACGCTGACGGCGGCGGATACGGTGGCCGGCGACGTGTGCGAGAGGGCCGGCAACCTCGACTGCCCGTCAGCCGGCTGGGACTCGTTGACGCATCTCGTGAGTTACCTCCCGTACCAGGCCATTCTCAACGTCACAAAGGGGTCGTACATCCGCATCCCGGCGCTCTTCCCGCTCGCCACGCCGGAATCCATTCTGCAAATGTCAATGTCCGTTCGCGAACCCGGTGTGCCGCGCGGGTGGGCCGAGTCTCGCATGACGCTGCCGCATCGTGTAACGGGTGCCACGTTGGCAGCGACTACGATGCTCTGGCAGGATGCCCTTACGTTGATGGATCAAAAGGAGAAGAAGTATTACCGCGGGTCGGACTATCGGTACTCGACGTTCCAGGAGCTCGCGTCTATGGAGACTCGATGTCGCGTTACCATGGTCGATGGCAACAACACCACGTCCGGTGATCGTCGTCGTCCTGTCAACTTTCCAGAAGTTCGGAACGAGGCCTCTTTCACCAATAACACCGATATCATGGCCCTAGAGAACCCGACAACGCAAGCTTTATGGACAACCCTCAACGGAACGACCCCCCAGCTGTCCTTCTTCGACATTGATCCCAAAGGAGACCTAGCCGCCAACGTCTCCATCGGCGCTATCATCTCCCTCCCACGCCAAGGAGGCATCGCCGTCTACGGATGCCTCACAGACGCAGAATGGATCGGCGCCAACACTTGGATCAACATAGATAACCACGTCTGGACAGACGGCTGGCCCTTCCCCGTGACCTGGAAACCCGGCAGCCGCAAAGTCCTCATCGAGACCTCCTTTGCGAACCTGACCAACGCGGCCGTCGACATCGAGGGCACCACCGTCTTCCAGCGCCTCGCCGCCTCTGCACGGCTCATCGACTCTCCGCTAGGCCTGCCTTGGACCGTCGGCCACGTCGAGACGCTCGTCAACTCTATGCTCGCCAACGGTATGTCTCGCACCGCGCCCGCCGCGAAACCCATCATCACTCTGAAGGACGCCGACAGCGCCTGGTGGCGCAACTTCTTCCCGCGCAAGACGCAGTTTGGGTTCCCCGAGTCTGGCACAGCGTTCGACGTGCCGGAAGCCGTGCGGGCCGCGGCGCAGAGGCTGCATTTCCGGGGCGAGATGAAGGGGTTCGCGTACTCTGCCGGGGACGATACCGTCAGATATTCCATGGTGGGTTTGTTCGTTTACTGTGCCGTCGCGGTGGCGTTCATGGCGTGGAGTCTTGTCGTGGGCGTCACGAGCAAGAGCTGGGAGTCGACGCCGGAGCTGTTGGCGCTGGCGATGCGGAGTCCGCCACCCGGGGACGAGAAGATGCCGTCGAGTATCTTGGAGGATACGAGTGCGCTGCGGGAGAGGTATTGTATTGTTGCGAGCGGGTCGGATGTGCTGCTTCGGCCGATGGATGGGCTGGAGGAGGTGCCGGAGGAGATGAGGGTGAGGCCGAATGTAATGTACAGATGACGGGAGGGAATGTTTGGCTGGCTGCCGTTAAACATACAGGCTTCTCTCATCAATACGTCCTGCTGTTCAAGGTTGTGCCATATGTTAATACTCTAGTGAACCTCTTGCGCTTGTAATAATTCCTCCATCTCCTGGAGGCCGGACGATGTAAGCCCATCAATTTCAAAGGCGCCATTGACTCCTGATGGTCTCATGGTACGTAGCACTGCCAGATTCTCTAGTCAACCTATGGATTTGTATGGTAGTCCTGTTCGGTATGGTCAGAGAGGTGATTTATCGATCTTCGAGTTTGGCCCGTCATCGCCACATCCTGCGAACACTCGTTGGTTTCTGGATGTTCGTCCGCACTCTGGGCGCTATAAAATCCTCAATTGGCCAGTCCATTTTTTGAAATACCTTACCGTCATGGTATCATATCGTCGGGCTCCAGTCATGGTTGGTACGTTTGAGGCTCTCAAGGGTGAATTGGCCTCGAGATTGGTGATCTACCATTTCAAACACAAGTTCCGATTTAAGCCGCCATCACCACCAAGAAGTCTTACTCTTTACTTTCTCTCACCAGCCCTCTATTCGTGTTCTCCATGAAATATTACTCGGGAGCCTAATAGACCAGCAATATGAGTCGTGGTGATATGGAGAACAGAGCAGCGGCGAGTTGTCTCATCAGTCGTTTTGGCCGGCGTATCTATACAGACATACGGAGAGAGAAAGGGCAGTTTCTAGCCGCTTTCTCGCATTCGAGTCACCGTACTCATATTGGCCAGCGTATTTGGCACCAAAATTACGCTGCCAACGAAGCAGAGATCACTACATGGGTCAACGGAAACATGACCTCGGCAACTGACATACAGAGAACATGAAGCTTCGCCCAAGATGAGGGGGTCCAGCGTTGTTATTTCCCCTTTGAGAAATAGTGCCTGTCTTCCTGGGAAAACATCCCGAGGTCGCAAGATCAACTCTCGGTGAGGCCCTCACGAATGATTCGTCTCAGCCCCTTCACCTTGACTACCCGAAACGGCATACATTGGCACAGAGGCGAGGCCCATTCTGCGACCACATACACGTGATGGCGAGACGCTGCAATGCAAGTATGTCGTGCATATTTTCGATATCTCGAGGGCATTTTGGCTCCGCTTCTGGCGGTTTTTGCGGTCTCGGCCGTAGCATTTATGCCCTCTGTGCCCTCCACGTGATGGGGCAATGCTGCGATGCAGGTATGTCGTGCATTGTTTTTGGAAGTTGCTTCTCGAGAGTCTCGGTGTAGATGGCAGACTCACCGAACTTTCCCTTTTTATGAGTTTGAAGTTTTAGGAACTTAGAATTTGTTTGATAGAACTTCTGGTGGTGATCTAAACATGCCAACAAGGACGAAAATGAGGCCGGCGAGTCTCT